AATCCAGTCTCTGCTTTTGTCTGATTGTGGTGTTTTGATCTCAAATTCAAATGCATCAAGCATCAAAGACATTAAATTGCTGTTTAATGTTAATGTACTGTTGGACGGCACTGTAATGACGGCCTAGCTAAATATTCTCTCTTTAATATCTAATCTGCTCTTTTATATCAATATTTTCATGCCATTTTTTTAAATGTTTTCCATCGTGTAATGTATTTTTATGTTCTCTCTTCTGCTTAATGTCGAAGCAAAATATAACCAAACAGCACATTGTTTTAAATGTGTGTTAATATAAAACATTTGGGCTGCAGAACACGTGTTAGATCCTTGTGTCAACTGATGAACACTGAGCACATCATACTGAGCGCAGAAGTCCCATTACAGTCTAGAGGTGAGGCAGGAACACTTCTATACTTTTAAGTAATTGTTATGAATCATTTTCCCTCTGCAAGTGTGATAAAAGCCTGATAATGAAACCAACAGCAGTCTGCTGCAGCGCGTTATTACCAAAGAGCTCTCTCTCTCTCTCTGTCAGTGCCAAACACACAGTACATACATTTTCTGGTCGACGGTCCAAAACTGCATTTAGCTCAACACAAAAAAAAATGTTTCTCCTGCCGTACCAGCCACATCTATCATGTTTATGCATTCAGCCCTGACCTGTGATGGCCTGCTGTGGTTCTGGCTTCAGTGTTCAGTGAATCCACTTTAAATATGAAGTGCAGCTCGCAGCAGGCATTAGTTAGCCAGCGCCGCACACTCAAAGACAAAACCTCCAAACATCTGCCCACTGATGAAGCACAGCCGACCAAACGCAAAACAACAAAACACCGGCGGGTGTTTCTAAAAAAGCAAAACTTCCCCCTGAAGTATTTCACATGTACAACAGCACGGAGGAAAACATCGTGCTTGTGGGCTGGTGAAGTCTTGAAACTCTAAAACATCAGTATTTCAACCACAAGCAGACGGTTGAACTACAAAACAAGATTAATGGATCAGTGCGGTGTGTTGAGCCTAAAGTCAGGGTTTTCAGGGTCATGGAGGTGGCTCTCTTTTAACCTGCTACATCACCATGGTAACTGATGCTGCACAGGAGAGGTTCTGTTCAGAGTTTAGATTTTCCACCAACTCTTCACCTGATGATTTTGTGTGAGCGATATCAATTCTCAGACATCAATACAAAGCAGGCAAACCACACTGGGTCACAATGGGAACCAACATGTATTCAGCTGATGATGCAGAAGTTGCATAAATATAGAGAAGATTCAATCAATTATTTTGCTTTAATTTGGCCAAAAACAATGGGGTTTCCAACGAACCCTCAATAAAAAAAAAGGGCAAGACTAAATGCACTTCATCAATATGATATTTAAATTTTCAGAGCCCTAATGTGCAGCTGTCAAGTGAGAATTAAGTGGCTGCAATGACAGTCACTGACTGGTAGAATAAATATATTAACTCACACCATTAACATTTTCTACCTCACTTGTATTATTTGCAGTGACTGTGCTCTTTACAATAATAGTTTTTATATTCCTTATAGCACTCCATTATAGCGACCTCTTGCTTTTGACTGGCGCAGTCGGTCGAACCCGTGCAGTTTGTACAAATGATGAGTCAAACAGTGCGTTAACATCCTCTCCTGTAGAAACGTACACAGTGTTAAGGGTAAAGGATACCTGATCAACAAACAAAGTTGATAACCACTGTGAAGGAAAAGTTTCTCTCTCTGTAGTTAAGCCTCAGAAGATGATACTGAACTTTTATCCTCTAAACTTCTCCTGATATCCCCAAATAGAGATCATACGACATCCGTCTATAAAACAGACATACACTATCCTACAAATCTGCTTCTTTAGGATCTTGACCCCATGTAGATGTGTTGTAGGAGGACAGGAAGGCGCTCCAAGGCCGGATTGCACTAAGGCGCCAACCTATCTTCTTGCTTTTATCCATAAATCTAGATGATTTCCCACCGAAGGATGGTATAAGGACGTATGAGAGAATCCTCATAGCTGATGCTAGCACTGCATGCATGAACTGCTGCTCCCACAGTGTCTCTTCTCCTGATATGTCAGTAAACCTTATTTCAACCTATGTCATCTAGAGTCTCCAGTGTGTCTCTCTGTGTTGGTTTCCTCCTCTTCTTTCAACCACCACGATGTTTATCTCTGACAGGGATTTTGGTTCTGTCAAGCTGGCTAACGCATAGAAAGCCTGGCTCTGTTGAACCTGCGCTGCAGCCCACCCGCCAGACAAGCAAAATATCCAAAACTTCAGCCAACAAACAGCAGAATGTCGAATACAGTGCAGGTGTCTCTGCACATGTCTGTGCTGATCAGCTCTGGCACATGTGCCAAATCTGGAAGCGATTTCAACAGTGATTGCATCAATGCCGGGGACACTGATGTATCCTGGTGCTTTGACAGGCGACATCCTGCCAATCCTTGAAGCCCGAGAAAACAATGGGTGCAGGTGTTTTGATATGTGCTGCCGATGTGTCTCGACGACACAGTGTTTGTCTGATATTATGATCGCTGTGACTTGTGGATCCTTGCTGTGCTGCTGTCTCCCAAATATTATGCACCTGTACAGCTAACCTGCATCCTCAACTGTGGTGTAAGGGAAATTACTGTTTTAGGCTTTACTGTTGCTCCTTTTCAGCCAACCAATCATATATAATATGGGACAGAACTCATCACTGTGGTAACCTAGAAAAATAAATGGACACAACATGTTGTGAAAAGATTGTATTCCAGCCCAAACCATGCCATTTCCCCTAAACGTAACCCAGTAATTCTGGTGCTGAAATAAGAAGTTGTTAAAGTGTGATGTTTTTTTTTTTAACCTGCCTACCTTATGCCTCTATCCTCCCCTCCTACATTACTATGTAGACTTTGTGGCTCCTTCAACCTGGAAACTTTTTCCTGCAACATCACAGTTTTACTTTTCAGGGAGCAAATCAGTTTCTCTCAAAATGCAAATGAAAATGCAGCTTAGTTGTATAGGATGTAATGCTTGTGCTGTGACTTGACCGAGACACATGATACACTATATTTTGGTCCCTGAAAGCAGCGCAGTTCAAATCATAGTTTATCACAGCGACTGTGTTGTGTTTGGCAAAGCCTAAGATGAAGAATGAAAATGTCAGAGCCCCAATGGCGTCCGTAGAATGAACCAAGAGGACAGTACTGGATGTCTGTCCTTTATTCTTTCACTTCACGTGTTGTGTGAGCTATTGGTCAACCCTCTGACACACATTGTCAAAGGTTGTGAGACAGAAAAGGTAAAAGTAAAATGAATTCTGACAGGCTAGTATTTTTGTTTGACCGCTTGTCATCCACTATGATACACCGCAATTAGGTAATTACTATTTTCTATGGCAGCTCAACTTTTCATATTGACACTGTCACATGCCCAGGCTGTCATTTATTTTGTCTGTTTTCTTTCTTGTTGTTTGGATTGGTTATCAATGTCGCCCGGGCCGATTTAACATAATGAACATGACAGAGAAGAGAGAGTAGAGACGGAGTGGACGCTTCAGAGAACCGTGTTGCATCTGAATTAAAGAACGTTTTGCTGAGATCTTGGTGGACGATGAATGAGAACCATCCTCCATGAGGGTTTATTCCTGTCAGCCTCTACTTGCTAACCTAAATGAAACCAACTGAGCTCAGTGGTGTCAAAGTGAGAGGACGAGTGGGCTGGATGGCCTGCAGGGGACAAATGAACCAATGGTGGTAAACCAGCAGAGCTCACCTGCAGCAGGTAAGGTGGCGTCGATTTCTAGCAACGAAGGCATTTGGACATGCTATAGATTGTAAGTATACATGAACCTATTGATTAACCTGCAGAACCCCAAGCAGACAGTGGGCGATTTTTTTGCTCCCATCACATTTTTTCTCCACTGTAGGCTCATTTTCCACTGCAAAATAAAACCCTGAACCTCTCATGGCTAGAAGTAGAGAGAACTCAAAAATCTATTCTGTGCAGTATGAAAAAGTTATAGAGTCATGAAAAAAAAAAGGAAACAAGTAAAGTTGAAGTTAAAGTTTCTTTGATTATTTATTTATTCCAATAGCTAACCCTAACCCTACTCCACACATTTGCAAAGATACTTCACCATGCTGAATGTGTCCTCCAAGAGTCCCTGAAGGAGTCACTTATTCTCAGGAGAGCAGAGGAGAATTTATGATTGTTTTTTTACAGGATCTGGTGCAAACAGGTTAGTTTTACATCAATTTTTAGATAAAATGCGTAGAAAAAAAAAAGCGATTTTGATGAAATTTCACAATTTTATGCTGAATTTGCTTCATTATCTGACTGTCAAAATTAGTTCAAGGTCCATGGGAAATTCTTCTTTTTTTTTAACCAGATTAGGTTGACAAATCACATCATTTAAAACAAACAAACAAAAACCCACTGGTAGGTGCAGGATTCAGAGGTTCCAACTCTTGAACGAAATCTAACCTAATAATAGCAGATAATGTACGAATGAATGGAGTTACCCTAAAAAAAAATAAGAGTGTATGTGTATATATTTCTGTATGAGAGGAGCTGCTGTTGTTTTGTGATGCTACCTAAATGGACTCGTGCAGGATTGTAGACGGTAACAGACATTTTTCAGCACAACTAAATGCAATTCAATACAATAACTCCGGCGTGAAAAGCTTAGAATGTTCTATTTTGAGACTTAGTCATGTTTGTATTCTACAGAGTAAATATTCGCTGTCATCTAAGACTGTTGATGCTACTTATCTGCCTTCTAGCTCTAAAAACCCACCTAAAAGCACACCAGGTAGTGCTGTGGTCTTAATTTTCACAAACATCAAATGCTTCATGTTGTTCCTTTGAGGTTGGGAAAAGGATGCTTTTAGAGGCTCTCTTGCTTTTTAAACTTCTTTAATCCAAGAAGTGCTCAGGACATTTTTAAAGCAGAGAAAATCTGAAAACACTCCTTACCTATTTAAATGTGTAATTTTATACGCAGAAATACTCACTCGTATTCGCTGCACTTCCAAGAAGACAGCTCTTTGGAAGGACTTCTCCCAGATAGCCAGGTCACTGGCCAGCTCTACCCTGAAGGTGTGGCTCTGGCCGTGGCCGACCAGAATACTGAAGCACAGAGACTCATTGTCCTGCTGCTCAGGTGAATGCTCCAGCCCCAAGTAAAGCCTCGCCTGGAGCCAGCAGTCCTCCGCCATCCACAGCTGTAACACAAGATTTTAATCATTACTTGCGGGGGAAGAGGGTCGCCTGTCTCTTCACCTTCAATTGCTTCAATCAGTGGGTAGAATTAAGAGTAAATTCTTCGGTTAATCAGAAAAACTTTGACTGTGTGCATAATGGTGGTTTCTGGATTAAGAGCAGCCCTGTTTAGTAGGCTCCCTGAAACACTATACTATCTGCTAAAAAGAGAAAAACAGCCATCTATACAGAGATGAAAACAGCTGTGATCAAATTTTGAACAGCCCTGATGCACATCACAGCACGATTCTCTTAACGTACCTTGTGAACCTTGAAAAGAACCTCATAGAGGTTATACGTTGTTTCAGCTTGTCCCCAGTCAGCGGCACTGATCTGAAAAATAAACATCAAGGAACGTGAGATGAAGAGGCAGCATAACAAAACAGGCTTTTTTTTTTGCACTTGTTAGCGACAAACTCCTTATCCAAATACTACATGCAAATGAAAGTTAGGCAGGAAGCTTAGTTGTGTGAGCGCCTCGGTGACTGCCAGTGCCAGGAATCAGCATGGATTCATCCTGTTACGCTGCACAGGGAGAGAATTTACATCAAGAAAGCAGCACATACATTATCAACAAAGACTGTGGCAAAAGTACAGAGTGCTTTTGTTGTAGCACAACAACCGCGTCATGCAAGGGAGGACAGCTCAAATAGAGAGACAGTCATTTAATGGAGAAAACAAAACTGGGACTTACAGGTTTTGTTCCACAAGTTAAAACATTCAAAACATAAATCATTCAAGTTCAAATTGACATTGGTATTAACGTAAATCACCCGCAACCCAGAAGACATTTTGGCATGCCGCAGTAAGAAAAGCACAAGATTAAATAATAAAATCACTGATGGCTTAATTCTATTTAGCTGCTCTAGTTTATTGGTCCTGGTATTGTCGTACAGGCTTACAGATAACGGGCAACGTGTAACTGGCTGCTTTTCAGTCACTATTTCATTCTCACTCTGTTGGTTTACAATGCAAACCAAAAACATGTAAATAAGAACAGCTGTATTAGGAATTAGTTTTAAAGTGCAGGAGAGAAGCTAACAGATGTTGACACCGACTAAGTTTATGTTGCCTCTTAAAGACAACCAGCAACATGAAGACACATTAACACACATACAGTTCTTGTTTTTTGGTTTGAAATCACTTCTGAAGTTTCTGACACTGATAGCTAATGGTAATATTAGCCACATTAGCTGCACAACATGCTAACACTACAGATTTTAAAAATAAAATATAATCACTGGATCTTCAGTTCCTCAGATGCTGGAAGTGCATGAAGTTTCTTGTGTTCACTCTTGCAGCTACCAGCAGAACATTTAGTGTGTTCTGATAGTGACTGACAACTGGAGTTGGCAGAAGCAGCTCTACAAAGTAAATAAACCTGGTGGACTGCGAGGCCGTGGCTTTTTCAGGATGGCTCATCTCAGTAAAAGCAGGCAGTAGGGGAATAGGATTAGGCACATTTTACATTAAGAACTATTGTTTCACCCACTTTACAATGTGTTTCTAATCCACCTAATCATACACACACTCGCTTGCAGGGCACTAGACTGTCATTGAGAGCAACTTGGGGTTTGGCATCCAGCCCAGGGACATGTGGAGGGGCTGGACATCAAACCACCAGCCTTGCAATTGGTAGACAGCCTGCTCTACTGCGGCTGAAAAAGAAAAAGCAAAGTACTATTAATCCCTGTAGGAGCAGGAGTCACTGCTGTCATATGCATGTCAGCACAGGAAAGTAGAGTAATGCCGTAGTAACATATATGTTTAATTAAAGTCTCTCTATGAAAAACCCTGATATGGGAAACACCAGCATTAGGTGCAGTTGGGCTGCCATGTGCCACCAGAACAGCTTCAACACTCCTTGGAGTTGATTCTCCAAGTCTGTGAAACTCTAAAGGAGGGATGGACACCATCCTTCCTAAAGCTATTTTTCTCATTTGATGTTTTCATGATGGTGGTGAAGAGTTCAAATCATTTTCAAATTCATCAAATCATTCAGTGACCTTTCGTGCCCTATTGATGGGGGCATGGTCATCCTGAGACCACACCATCAGGATAGAAATGTTTTATCATAGGACAAAAGTGATTATTTACAAAAAATCTGTACTGATTTGCATTGACTGTTCCCTGTGAGTGGGCCCAAACCAAGCCAGCATAATGCTGACCATCTGTATGTAGTTTCTTCTCAAAAAGCCTTCGTATTTTGCTACGGCTGGGCTCAGTAGCTTTTAGAAAACATTATTCGTATTCAAGTAAAATCTGTGCAATTGATGAGGACTACTTTCAGTGGATTTTTACACAGTTGGATCTCACAATGCCCAACTGCTTCAAAAGAAACTGCAGTTGCCATGTTCCTGGTAATGGCAACACAGAGCCTCATGTCATTATTGGACAAAGATGTTGGTTCACGTTGCAGAAGACTAATGAAAGGCTTTAGTTGCACTATTTGTAAGAAGGATCAATTCATTGTTAGTTTTGGTCTCATAATATTTGACGAATACAGAATATCAGCTGCTTTATCGATTACTTACCCAGAGCAGTAACAAATAGATACTGAGCTTTTGAGGCAACATGAGATAAAATAGTTACACAGAGGTCAAAGGATCTCAGCTTATTTGATATTTGACACACAAAACAGCCTTAACAGCCAATACTCTGAATCTGAAACAATAATATAATAATAACGTTTCAGTTTATTATCCTCGAATTAGCTAAAACAGGGTTTCAAGGGATCTAAAACATTATACAGGAAACCAGCAAAACTATCATAATGAGGTGATTTTAACAGCTTAGAATGTATCATTATATGACCCAGTTTTCAAAGCTAAACCTTCCTCCTGCAACTTTCTTCATGCAAAACCATTTCCTTGTAATTAAAGCATATGCTTTGTGATCCTTTTTGATCTTTCTTCCCTCACCGTCACCAATCCCAATTAATTGATTGTACAGTGCTGGTACTGACTGTGTCGACAAAGTCTCATAGAGCCTTTTTGAGTTCCCCAAAAATGATTTAAAGTGATTTGAAAAAAACAGAATTATATGGGTTGGCATGCTCCTTCATCAATATAAAAAACATACACTGCCCACAGTTCTGAGTCCATACCACTGTCCATACTCACTGATGTGTTAAATGTTTATTAAGCTCAAAATAGTCCCCCACCAAACAGAAATATGTATTTCTGTCAGAGTAATGTTTGCTAAAAACTACAATGTCCAGCTGTTTGGGAATCAATGGAGCACAAAGTCTGACCATTTCAAGGTATACTTTGAGGCTTTTCATGGGATTTACTGACAATAAGACAAACAGACGACCACCAGCTTCATCTTTTAACTATTGTTGCCTGTAGAAAGCCTTGGATGTCGAACAATTTCCACTGTATTGTTATAAAGACTGAACAGTACAGAGGTAAGGTATGAAAGTTTATCTTTTTTGAAGTAAGGTCTGGAACAGGGTCACACTCTTTGGTAAGCTTGCCCCATGAGTTAAAATGGACAGCCATGAGAGTTTTCATAATGCTACCTGAGACTAACAAGCAGCTACCCAGTAGATTTTGTTTTCATTAAACCACATGCACTAACACTATCCCGTTGCATATTCAAGCCTCCTCTACCTCAGGGATATTGGCTACTCCCATATTTCAACAGAAGCCAGAGGACACGTCTGGCATTTCACAACCCACCAGCTGCATAATGCCTCCACTTCACGGAACCATAACTTCAGTGACTCCCCAACACATCCATTATTGTAATTCATTAAAATTACGGCTGATGACTTCTCTCACTGACAACTCGTCAACATGATTTGTTGGTCTATTTTGACTCATCTGCATCAAGTAAAAGTGGAAAATACTTTTGACTTTTTGTGCTTGTTCTGCTTTCAGGTGAAGTTTACTCTCACCTGCTCCCAGCTGTACTTATTTCTCTTTTGGTTAAAACACATCTATAGGCACCAAAAGGAATTTTCGTCTTGCTTCAAGTTCATACAAACTTTAGTTTCTGCGTCAAAAAAAATTCTTTGCCTCTGGCAGGCTCCCTGTAAAGGAAGTAACAGCATTTTCAAGAACTTTCCTTGAATCATATATGTTTCATTAAGGACATTCCTTTATGTTAACTCAGCATGCGCATTAGTAATGAGCATTTAAATCCAACAAATGTTTGGAAGCCTTTGCACAGAGTATTCATAACTCAGGTCTCCGGAGAACATGTAGGCATCACCCACAACATTGCTGCAGAATTTCTAACAGTGATATTCTCTCTTTGCAGCAGCGATGCCTGCAGCAGAATGAAAGACAGCCTGCAACTACAAAAGTTCTGTTTGATGGTATTAACAAGCCCGGTCTGAGAATGTCTGCCTAAACAAGATCAGACCCTTTGTCCTTACAGTGGTAACAAACAGCCAGAGTGACCATCACTAATCTTTCCACAGAGCATGAGTGTGGATGTAGAGAGGGAGTTGACAACATGCTGCTTGGACAGCTGTATAATGTGCTACAGAAATTCTGTCTTTATCGGGTTGTGCTGGAGGCTCGAGCGGGCTGGTGGAGACAGAACTCAAAATGCAGTGGCCTCCAGCAGATGTATAATTCATGATCACCCACATCGATGAGCCACAACATTAGAACGACTGACAGGTGAAGTGAATAGCATTGATCATCTTGTTACACTGCAGTGTTCTGCTGGGAAACCTTGGGTCCCGGCATTCATGTGGACGTTAGCTTGACACGTACCATCCATCTAAACACTGTTGCAGACCACGCACACACTCCTGTCGCAACAGCACTCCCTATCCTATCGAACATCTGCGGGGTACATCGACACAAGTCCAATCCATAGAGTCTCCACCCTGCAACCCAAAGGATGAGCTGCCAATGTCCCGATGTCAGACACCCCAGCATGCCCCCAGAGGTCCCGTGTTCATGTGTCAATAGTGTCAGAGCTGTTTTGGCACAAGGGGGACCCACACAATAACAGGTGGGTAGCTTTATCGTTGCAGCAGGTCAAAGGAAGCTATACATGGCTACTAAAGTTGCAGAAAGCATCCACAATATGACCAGATGAAGTATTTGTTTTCTCTAGTGTGACCAGCGGCGTGTCAAAGGACAAGGTTGGCAGAATTCTTTAAAATGATCTTTGCCTTTATTCCAGTCAAAGTAGAAACAGACGGGAAATGTGGGATGCATATGGACGTCCAACCAGGCGACAGTAAATGAAGGGACTCACTAATGAGTCTATGCACCCTGCCACTGGGATGTCGTCGTTCACTTGATCTGTACAAAACCAAACAAGTTGTGGGTGTTATGTATGCTATTTTTGATGTGACTTTCTGGAGT